CCCATTTTACTAGTTAGCCACTTTTTGATATCTTTCACAGAAAATGAGATATATAGGCTCAAAGTGGACGATCCGGGTGTCGTTCTATTAGAGGTTTTACGGTATTTTACTAATTTTTTCTTTGCTAAAATTCCAGATAAATTCTCGCTTTTTAGAGGAAAATTTTTTTTTAAAATCCACGAAAATTAGAAAAAAAAATGGATTGAAATCGAAAAATCGCCCCTCTGAAAAATGAAAAACCGACTTAATTTGTATTTTCTACAGCGGAATTAGCGCTTTCACAATTGGAAATTTTCGAAAAGCAAGTTTTCAAAATTATCGATTTCTAGCTTTTTTTAAACTTTAGTGGCTGAAAATTACATCAATTTGGCCGATGTGGCGGCTGCAAAAAAGGATCATGGCGGGGAGACGTACATGAATCTCACCGATTTACAGACACCACAAAATGGCAATTCTCAGGTGAGAAAGAGCTTGAAAAGAGAAAATTGGACATTGAAAGTGCGGAAAAATGGGTACTGATGGTTAAGGAGACTTCGAGAACGGCTGAATTTTATATCATTTTGCAGAGCTTGAAAAGAGCTACAGATTGATATGTGATTTTTCGAATTTTCGATTTTAGGAAACATGAAAAATTCGAGTTCAAAAATTCCGAAGTTCTTTATTGCTGCAAGTTGAGCACTAGTTGTTAAGACCTCATTTTCGAGCGGTCGAAAATTCGAAGCTATCTAAATTTTATAACAATTTGTAGAGCTTGAAAAGAGCTACAAATTTATATATAATATTCAAACTTTCGATTCTCGGAAACATAGAAAACAAGTGTTTGAAAAAGTCGAAAATTTTTTTGAGTGGAAATTAGGCACTAATAGTTTAGAGACCCAATGTTGGGCATCAAAAAATTCAAAAGCTACTGAGTTTTATGTTAACTTGTAGAGCTTGAAACGAGCTACAATTTGCTATAAAATTTTTATAATTTTGAATTTTTGAAACATTCAGAAAAATCGATCAAAAATTTGGGAGCAAAAAAAAACGGTCTCTTAAAATTGGTGTTTTTGGAAAAGGTGTTAGGAAACTCTAAACACATTAAAAATTAGACAAATTTTATGAAATTTTGTCGAATTTGAAATGAGCTACAAAGTGGTATCAAATTTGACAAAGTTGAGAATTTTCGAAGCTTCCTAAAAATTGCTCGAAAATTGGGGAACTGAAAATTTAGCACTTGTAGTTAGGCAGGAATTTTAGGCATGATCTTTAAGCTTCAAAAGTTTGAAATCAGCTAAAATTTATATAATTTTGTAGAGCTTAAAAAGAGCTACAAAACGATATAAAATTCAATTATTTTGATTTTTGAAAATTCCGAAAAAATCGGCTCAAAAATTGAGGACCCAAAAATTGGTGCTCATTTCTTGTTCCTCGATTTGTGATCTTTTTTTGCCGAAATTTCAAGTTCCAAATTTATCAATTCATATACTATTTTGTAGCTATTTTTAAACTCTACAAAACTATATAAAATACTTGCTTTTCTGATGTTTCGCTGTTTAAAAATGATGCCTTAACTATTAGTGCTCAATTTTCAGCTACAAAAATCTGTGGACTTCCAAAACACATTTTTCTCATGTTTCCGAAAATCGAAAATTTTGAACGATTTATATGATTTTGGAGTCCTTTTCAACCACTATCTGTTGCAATTATTTTCAATTCAAAGTCACGGCTATGAAGCGACTTATTCCAGATCCCAGCACCCCATCCTCTTCCTCCACCTCCTCCGCCTCCACTCCCACCCCAACGTCAACCCCGTCCCGGAATGAAGCGTCCAAGTGGAGAATTATCATCGGATGTAGCTATTCGAAGTCCATTAAGAGAGCGTAAAAACAAGCCTCAAAACAACATTTATGCAAAATTCGCTCAACCACAAACACCCCCAAGAACACCACCCAAGGCCGCATCACCCAAGGCACAACCACCACCACCACCAGTGTTCTCACCGAAGAAAGCAGTTTCACCGCCTGTATCTCCGAAAGTAAGATAGGGACAAGGGTGAAAATTTGAAAAATAAGAAGGTCGTAAAATTTTGACCTAGAAAAGTCTGAAAATGCGCGACTTTCCTTCTTGAGAGGGAGGTTTTTAGAAAGATTAGGAGAGGCTACTAGATTTAGGGCATCTTTGTTTTCTAGACGCTGTATCTCCTGAGCCAAGTAAGATATCAAATTTTTGACAACTGAAAAAATGTTGGTTTTAAAATTTTACACATTTTTGTAGTTGATCACTTTTTGGTATTTTCTTTAGGGACGGAGATAACAAGGTACAAAGTTATGGATTGCGCCCTCCCTCCTTTTCCTTTATGGTGAGGGATCTTGGCAGACTGTCTCACTATGAGCTGAATTATCTCAGTTCCAATGAAAGATACCAAACTTTTGTCAACTAGTAAAATGTTAGTCTTAAAACTTTACACATTTTATCTCTTTTCAACTCTTTTGTATCTTTGCTCCTTCCTGACTTATGCTCCTCTTTTAGGCGCACCGACACCACCACGATAAGGAAAAGAACAACCACCGCCACCACCGTCAAAAAGAAGAAGAATATCCAGAATCTTCCAAAGACGACAGTAATCGAGATGACAAAATAAAGAGTCCTACCAAATCACCAGCCGTTGCTCAATCCCCATCAGGTTCGGACGCCGAGAATCAGAAGGATCCGGAGAAGACGTGGTCGCCGATTGTGTGCTTTGTAAGTTCTGATTTCTGAGATTCTAAAGACTTCTAGAACTTTTCAAGGGCTTCCAGAAGATCTAGACAAAAATAAAAAAATTTGCCATCGAGTGGACTCGAACCCGGGTCATCAGATTGGTAGTGGGCAAATCCACTGAGCCAAAAGAGCAAATTTTTGGAAAAAGTGTGATTTTGGGGTTCCCAGAATTCGAAAATTGTTTTTTTTTGAAGAATTTTATATTAAAAGATTCCAGATCCGTCTCTCCTACTACATTGTATTCCTCTCCTTCTTCATCGTGCTCATTTTTTGGCTTATGGCAACTGCCACGTCACTTCATTATGTGGACATCGAGTTTATGGAGAAGAAATTTATGGAGAACTGATTACTGAATAAAGATTTGATTTTTAAATTGATTGATGATAAAAAAGAGCTGGCCTAGAAAAGAGAACTTGTGAAAGTTAGGCCACCATGTTAAATTTGCCTAGGAAACGCCCTTGGCCATTTCTAGGTCGGTAAAGATGAACTTGGTGGCCTAGAAAACTCAGTTTGCAAAAGTTAGGCCACTAACATCCTCTAGAAAACCCACCGAGCCATACTTAGGTCATTTAACATGGTGGCCTAGAAAACTCAAAGTTAGGCCATCATGCTAAAATGGCCCAAAAACCGAATTTGTGCCCGATTTGTCTGTTCGAACGAACTGTAGAACACAGAGCGATTTTCATATACATAGATCAGAAATCAACAGATTTAGAGAAATTGAATAATTTATTTTTGATAAAAGGTGTTGACAAAAATTACAAAAATTTTTTATATAAATTGCCTCTTCGACGTACACCATTTTCTCCTGGTGTGACCCAGTATTCGGATTTTGGATGGTTTCTGAAAAAGATATACAGTTAAACGTTTTAAGTTTGAGCTCATTTATCTCGGTTCCTATGAGAGATTCCGAAAATTTTTCAACTGATAAAATATTGGTGATATTATGATAAACATTTCGTCAGTTGATATCTTTTTTGTATCTTTGACAGAAACTGAGATAAGTTAGGTCTGAAAAGTTAGTACCTGTTATTTGTCCAGTGCGATTGTTCCATCTGGAATATCCATGAATGCTGCTCTGAAAAGTATCAATTTTATAAACTCAAAAGTATTTCACTTACGTTCCGTTTGTATTTCTTTCGCTTCTTGAGTATATATCATCATATACTGCATCCAGTCATTGGCATAATATATTTCAAGCCGCTTTCCGATTTCCCATCCGTTTTGCTTGCGGTGCTCGATCCATTGGCTTCCAATTATCTCATTTCCCAGAAATGCTATCTAAAAATGGTCAATTAGTTAAATGTTTCTTGTGAAATTTTACACATTTCCTTAGTTGACCACTTTTTGATATCTCTCTTAGGAACGGAGGTAATAAGGTGCAAAGCTATGGTGTCCCGCGCGCCCCCTTGAAGGGGGGGGGGGGGTCTTCCTAGACGTTGAGGTCAATTATCTCGGTTGCTATGAAAGATACCAGGAAACTCTCAACTGCGAGATGATTAAGCTTAAAGTGTAAGAGTGTTTATGATGACGTCATTTTTTCTGTTTCATCTTGTTAAAGAAAATTAAAAAACCAATAATGATTTAGCTTATTGTGACCTGCTTTTAAAGGTGGGGGGACAGGAGATTTTTCGTAGTTTTTTTGTAGCTAGAGTATGCATTCTACCGTGTACAACGCTTAATGTCACTCTGCGTACAGCTGTCGTCCTCGCCTTTATGTATGCAATCGGACGTGCCCTTTCTCTTTGCCCGCGTGGCTCAGTCGGTAGCGGCGCCGCACCCTCAATCCCCATAGGTTCAACTCCTCGAGGGGCATCTTTGAACGGAATTTCGAGAACATTATTTTTTTCATGTCCCCCCACCTTTAACCATATTCCGATGCAACTCCAGAAATTTCAAATTAAAAAAAAAGCTTTAAAAAACTTACAATTTCAAAAATCGATTCCAAAATTTCTTATCTAGTATAGAGAATATAAATTGCAATGTCAAGAATAACAAGATTAACTAGGGGAAATAATACCTATAAAAATCAAGGGAGTTTTAGGCAGGCACATTCCGCCATGAGGGGTGAGTAAGGGAATAACGAATGAATGAAATTCTAGGAGGTGTGTCTTGGAGGAAACGGGGGGAGAGCTTAAGACGCAGATAGAACTAGAGATGCTGAGATAGAGAAATTAAGACGGGAAATTTGGAAATCAGGAAGGGGAGGAGAAGACAAATGGCAGAGGATTAGGGTAGCCATGGAAACCGTTGCAAGGTGAGAAAATGGGTATGGATGGAGCAGGTGGAAAGAGAATAGCAGTGGAATAACACCAGCAAAATACCAAGATAATCTGCTAATGGGCTATGTTGACAGTGTATCCGAGGTCAGTCGAGACCGATCCAACGTCCTAACCAGAGAGACTTGTTTACCTGTAAAAGACCCCCCAAAACCCCCCACTGTGTAAGATAAGCGGTGCAAGTGCATAACAGTACGCAAGCTATTGCCTCTACGTGGCGAAAGAGATCAACAGACTAGAAATAGTCTGGCTAATCAGTAAACTTTTGGAAACTAAAAAAATAAATATTTTAAAATTCAATTTTCTTTTCATTTTGATTGTCAAGGTGAAGAAATTCATTGAAAACTGATAAGAATGATATAAAAAATTAAATCACTTCTTTGACTTTATCGACGACGTCTGAAGCTCCAGTTTTGACATGATCCATAGCGTTTTCACCAGTTGACCATACTGAAAAGTTCATTTTCCAGCTAGAGTCTTGATTTTTGTACCATACCTGTATCCGCTGCCCCTTCTACTGTATCCATAACTTTTCCACCGACACTCTCCACCGATCGAACTGCACTTTGACCGGCTTGTTTAGCATCGTCATAGATTCCACGACGTTTTCGGTCAGCTGGAACATGAGTCGGGTTTTCTGGTTTTTCTGGTTTTTCTGGTTTCTCCTTTAAATTTTTGTCATCCGCAGATCCTTGGCCATGATGCTTCCATGGTCCTTTATGAGTCATGTTCATTGGTAGATCGTCATCGGTCATGTTCATCGGACCGCCTGGAATTGAAATTTTGACGCAAAGTACCTCACCTCCTAGTTTAGCTATCAAAAAATTGTCAATGGACAAAATGTGGGAAGTTTTATGTTCTACATTTTTTCAGTTGACTAATTTTTGATATCTTAATTAGAAATTGAGATAATTAGGGTTGAAGTTTGGATTCTGAAAAAAAGGGGAAGGTGTCTTCAGTACCATTACTTTGAGACTGATTATATCCATTCCTAGTTTAGCTTTCATAAAATTATCAATTAGTGAAATAGATGTAATTTTATGGTCTATTTGTTTTTAATTAACTATTTTTTGAGATCTCAATTAGGAACTGAGATAATTAGCGTTTCAGTTAGGACCCTAGAAAAGAAGGGAAGGGTTTTCGGAACCATTACTTTGATGCTAATTATCTCCATTCCTAGTTTAGCTATCAAAACGTTGTGAATTGATAAAATGTGAGAAATTTCATCTTCTATACTTTGTTTGTTAATTTTGTTGTAATATCTTAATTAGGAACTGAGATAATTAGGCTTAAAATTATGACTCCCGAAAATTAAGGAAGGAGTTCTTTGGGTCAATGATAGGACAGTTTCTTTGAGGCTAATCATCTTTTTATTTCATTTCAAATGATCCTTACCTTCCATTGGTTCCTTTTCATGTCCTCCCGGAAAAGCTAGAACTATCGAAGCCACCAAAATAGAGGAAATTAAGCATAACTTGTTCATTTTTAGAGGTAGTTAAATTGTTTCCCCGGTTCCCAGTGTCCTATTTTTATACCACCAATGCCATGTCAGACAACGTCATCTGTTTTGGATCTTCTGTTAAGCCGATTTTGGCGGATTTAGAGGATTTCGAGGGTATAGAACAATAACAAAGTTTTCGAACAATTACTATTTTATTTTAGAGGAAAAGAGGAAAAAAAACTCGGGTTTTCTTATGGAACACCAGGATAGAACATGGAAATAAAGACCCGTAACTGATCAATACGTGCGAGGAGAAGAAGAGAGTCTTTGTGTGGGGAGAGAAAAGAGGAATGATATATAATACAAAAAAGTTCCGAAAAAATTAATAGTCATGAATCAGACATATCCGTTTGATGATTCGTTTGAACGCCGCACGGAAGTCTTGGGAGAAGACTGTATAGATGACTGGATTTAGTGCCGAGTTTAGGTATCCTGGAAAAAAATAGTTAATTGATTAGGGTAATTAAGGGTAATTAAGTGGCTTACCTAACCACAGTGTGACCTGCTCTAGTACCGGTGAGATTTGACAACCACAGATGGGGCGATAGATGGAGACAAGGAAGAATGGGGTCCAGCAAGCGACGAAGGTTCCTTAAAACGGTTACTTGAATATTGACCTATTGAGCAATATATGGTTTTGAAGCCCTATTTTAATTCTACAATTTCCCTTTACTTTAATCAAAATTCTAATTTTGAAGAAAGTTGCAAAGGGGGGGGGGGAAGTTAGAATACTCAAAAAAGGAAAACCATCAGATTTGGTGGCTTTTCCAGATGATTAATGAACAAGAATAATTCTATTTTATGAGGTTTTAAAGCCCTAATCTTTTTCTATAACTTCCATTTTAGTTTAGTTAGAAATCCTAACTTTGACGCGAGTTACAAGCGCTTGAAGTTAGCGTACTCCGAAAAAAGGTAGGCCGTCAGTGTTGATTAGGCTTTTTCAGGTTATCAATGAACAAAAGCAATCAAATTTTATATCATTTTTAAGCTCTATTCAAGCTCTATCCATTACAGTTAAAAATACTTAAAATTACAAATTTTTAAGTAAGTTACAAGCGTTTGAATGTAAGGTCCTAATTATCGGGGTTGATACAGGGCGCACAGAAAACTGGAGTTGACAAGTCCCCGAAAAGAACCACAAATATAAAGTTACAATAACTATTTTGTAGGGCCTTTCAAGTTCTATATTTTCCAATTAATTCTATTAAAACATTGATTTTTAAGCGAGTTGTGAGCTTTCAAACTTTTCGGGCTAATTTACCGTAAACACTACACAGTAAAACGCCACTCAACCCTGAGCTAACATATCTCGGTTCCCGAGAGAGCTATTAAAAAGTAGTCAATTAATAAAATATTGCTGATAATATGATAAACATTTTATCAGTTGACCACTTTTTGATATCTCTTACAGGAACCGAAATATAAAGGTATAAAGTTGACGGTTTGAAAAAAAATCTTTACCCGTAATAATAGCCAATGTCCTCCATGCTTTTCTCTCTCGTTTCATCTCATTCGATTCTTTCGTTCGTCTCCTTCGTTTAATGATTCCCGCTTTGTTCCGCCCATCTTCCCCATCGATTTTCGTTTCTTGTGTCGCAGCATCACCATTCACATTCGTCATCGTCATCGTTCGTTCCTCTTCAGAAGCTGATGAGCTGGATTCGTGGTGTCGTGGTGGATTCTGGAAGATTCGAGAGTTAAAAAAGAACAGATAAAATCACAAACCTTGATAGAATTATTCTTGGCTGCTCCTCCATTATTCTGAATATCAGAAATCACGACTGCTGGTGGCAATGGACACTTTTTGCTCTTTTTCGGCATCATCGCCTTCTTTTCGTCTATTGCATCTGGAGGTGGTCGGATTACTGTACGTCGGTCCCGTTCTCGCTTGAATCTCTTTTTGGCAGCTCTCATGATTTTCCAGTAAATCACAACGATCGCGATCAGAGGGATGTAGAAGGCGGTCGCTGTTGAGAAGACCTGGAAATTTTAGGATTCTTAGGATTCCGAGGGTTTAGAGGACTCTTGGATCCGTAAGATTTTTTTTTGATTTTGAAATTATTAGGATTCCTACTTTCCTCAATTCTTATTCCCTTTGAACTTTGCAAACTTTGAAACTTCAGAAACCAGGAAAACTTTTTTCAACCAAAAATGCTTTTTTGCCCCCAAAAAAAGAGTTCCATTTTCCCGATATTATTACCCCAGCGGGACCAATTTTTGGCTATTTTTTGATTTATAAATGTTCCCCTTATTTTTTTTTCAGAATTCTTTTTGCTCAAACTTTGAAGGCTATAATCTGAATCATAGGATTTCTTTTAAATGTGAAAATGATGACAGGAAATCCGGCATATTTTCGAGATTTTCAGATTTTCAGAGCACTATAGTTCCGGAATAAGTTTCAGTGCGTTTTTTTTCAAAAAGAAAGCAAACCTGATAACTGATTTGTTGACTTATCAAGCACACGTGTTGTTTGAGTACTCTGAAAATGGTTTTGGTCATTAATTGGGCAAGGTTTTTGAATTTTGTAGATTCAGAGCTTTAGAATGAATACAAACTCCAATAATTTGAAAAATTCAAATTTCAAGACTCGAGACGTTTGTACCGTAAATTCTCCAATAGAAGCTCATGTGCCCTTTTGAGCTTGATTATCACGGTTCCTTCAAAAAATTATCAAAATTTTGTCAACTGATAAAATATAGCTGATATTATGATAAACATTTAATCAGTTGATAGATGTTTGATATCTTTTATAGGAACCGAGATAATTGAGCTCAAAGTGCACATACAAAGTGTTATTGGAGAATTTACGGTATTCTAATTTCAAAGCTCTCAACAAGCCAGAACTGATTCATTCACTTTTTTTTTAATTGAATAATTCCAAAAATCACCCTTACCTGTCACTAAACCCTTCATCCTTCCATCCAGCAAACGGAGCCAACGAGATGAGCAATGAAACAAACCAAATGATAGCCAACATGCATGTAATCCGTTTGGGCGTCCTATTCTGTACATAACAAATGTCTGTGATGGACCAATATCTATCCAGAGCAATCGCCACCAGATGGAGAATCGATGCAGTGCAGACGAGGACGTCAACGGAGATCCAGAAGTCACAGACGACGACTCCAAGGTTCCAGGAGCCGGTTACGGTGAACCAGGCGCCAAGGGGTGTTACAATCATGCCGACCTGAAAAATAAAACACTTTTTTTTAAAACGTTTTTCTAAAATTCCGTAAAATGTCGGAATTTCAGAATCTTAGAATTCTTAGAATTCTTAGATTCTTAGATTCTTTTTTTCGAATTTCAGAATTTCAGAATTTCAGAATTTCAGAATTTCAGAATTTCAGAATTTCTGAATTTCTGAATTTCTTAATTTCTGAATTTCTGAATCTTAGAATTCTTAGATTCTTAGATTATTAGATTCTTTTTTTTTTGAGTTTCTGAATTTCTGAATTTCTGAATTTCTGAATTTCTGAATTTCTGAATTTCTGAATTTCTGAATTTCTGAATTTCTGAGTTTCTGAATTTCTAAATTTCTGAATTTCTGAATTTCTGAATTTCAAATCTTCTGAATTTCTGAATTTCTGAATTTCCGAATTTCTGAATTTCTGAATTTCCGAATTTCTGAATTTCTGAATTTCTGAGTTTCTGAATTTCTGAGTTTCTGAACTTCGGAATTTCTGAATTTCTGAATTTATGCATTTCTGAATTTCTGAATTTCTGAATTTATGCATTTCTGAATTTCTGAATTTCAGAATTTCAGAATTTCAGAATTTCTGAATTTCTGAATTTCTTAATTTCTGAATTTCTGAATCTTAGAATTCTTAGATTCTTAGATTATTAGATTCTTTTTTTTTTGAATTTCTGAATTTCTGAATTTCCGAATTTCTGAATTTCTGAATTTCCAAATTTCTGAATTTCTGAATTTCTGAGTTTCTGAATTTCTGAGTTTCTGAATTTCGGAATTTCTGAATTTCTGAATTTATGCATTTCTGAATTTCTGAATTTCTGAATTTATGCATTTCTGAATTTCTGAATTTCTGAATTTCTGAATTTCTGAATTTCTGAATTTCTGAATTTCTGAATTTCTGAATTTCTGAATTTCTGAATTTCTGAATTTCTGAATTTCTGAATTTCTGAATTTCTGAATTTCTGAATTTCTGAATTTCTGAATTTCCGAATTTCTGAGTTTCTGAATTTCTAAATTTCTAATTTTCAGAAATTCTGAAATTCTGAAATTCTGAAGTTTCTGAATTTCTAAATTTCTAAATTTCTGAAATTCTAAAATTCTGAAATGCTGAAATTCTGAAATTCTGAAATTCTGAAATTCTGAAATTCTAAATTTCCGAATTTCTGAATTTCTTAATTTATGCATTTCTGAATTTCTGAATTTCAGAATTTCAGAATTTCAGAATTTCTGAATTTCTGAATCTTAGAATTCTTAGATTCTTAGATTATTAGATTCTTTTTTTTTTGAATTTCTGAATTTCTGAATTTCCGAATTTCTGAATTTCTGAATTTCCGAATTTCTGAATTTCTGAATTTCTGAGTTTCTGAATTTCTGAGTTTCTGAATTTCGGAATTTCTGAATTTCTGAATTTATGCATTCTGAATTTCTGAATTTCTGAATTTATGCATTTCTGAATTTCTGAATTTCTGAATTTCTGAATTTCTGAATTTCTGAATTTCTGAATTTCTGAATTTCTGAATTTCTGAATTTCTGAATTTCTGAATTTCTGAATTTCTGAATTTCTGAATTTCTGAATTTCTGAATTTCTGAATTTCCGAATTTCTGAGTTTCTGAATTTCTAAATTTCTAATTTTCAGAAATTCTGAAATTCTGAAATTCTGAAGTTTCTGAATTTCTAAATTTCTAAATTTCTGAAATTCTAAAATTCTGAAATTCTGAAATTCTGAAATTCTGAAATTCTGAAATTCTGAAATTCTGAAATTCTAAATTTCCGAATTTCTGAATTTCTTAATTTCTTAATTTCTGAACTTCTGAACTTTGGAACTCCTGAAATTCTGAAATTCTGAAATTCTGAATTTCTGAATTTCCAAAATTTCAAGTTCCTTCAAACCCAGATCGGAAAATGAAAATCTCTAATTTCAGCACTTCCACACCGGAATTGACACTCTTCCCTTTTCCCCAGCTCATCCTTCTTCCTCCTCCGTCAAAAATCTTATTTTCAGAATTCCTTTTTCTATTTTCAGATTATTCGATTCCAAATTAAGATTTTCAAATTATTTTGGATCACATCCCCCACACAATTTTTTTTGTTTGAAGAAAAACTTCCTCAAAAGTATCTAAATCTTTTTTTCATTCAGAATTTCCGAATAACCAATACATCATGTTTTGCCGAAGATTCTCTTCAAATGATGCCAATTTCGATCGGGGTCTCGATGGAGAATCTATGTTTTGCACCCTATGAAATCACGCAGAAGAGAAATGGCCAAAAATTGGAGATCCGAATTTGCAGAATAGGATTTTTTAGGATTCTAAATTTTGAAAATTCAGATTTTAGGAGTCGTGGTCAGAAGACCTACGATTATGGTACCCAAATTAGAATTATGGTACCCAAGTCTGAAATTATCATTCTCAAAACTGGAATTATGGCACCCAAATCTAGAATTATGATACCTAAATTTAGGCTTATGGTACCCAAATCTAGAACTATGGTACCCAGAATTATTTTTTTCAAGAATTCTAAAAATGTGTTTTTTGGTCTTTGTACAAAAACCAACAACTCCTCCGCTCTCTTTTTCTGTTGGAATGTGTCATGTTCAATACTTCCATTTTTCCCATTTTTTGGAAAAAAAAAGAAAAAAAAAAGAAAATTGAATGGAGTTCATTTTGAACTTTTTTCTGGGAGTAGACAGAAAGTCAAAATTACAAATTTTGGAAGATTAGGGCTTCAAAATGAGTAATACCTGTAGTAGAAGTACCTCACACTGTCAAGTTTGAACTCAGTTATCCTTCAAAATATATCTAAATTTTTGTCAACTGATAAAATATTGGTGATATTATGATAAACAATTTTACAGTTGACAACTTTTTCATATCTTTGACAGAAACCGAGATAAATTATCTCGAAGTCAAAAGTCAGGGGGCCCTTATTTTACAGGTTCAACGGTGCCTGGGTTTCAATAAGACCAACATAACAAGGCTCATTTCAATCCTAGCAGTACCCGAATTTAAATTTCAGCGTTGTGACAGCAAATTTAGTCCTTTTAGAGCTTCAAAATGAGTATAAATATGGCCATAATTTTAGAAAAAAATTAAGCAAAACTCAATTAAAAAGGCTGCTATACGAAAATCGCTATAACTTGGTTCATTTTTGCTTTGGAGGATTGAATTTATTATTTTTGAGTTCAGCAGAATTAGAGCTTTTCAGTAAATTTAAAGTTTTCAAAGATCCCAAACTCTTAGAGTCAAATTCAAAGGTGCTATCCAAAAATCCAAAATTTCAGCGTCCATGGCTTGCTTAGACTCATATTGAAGCTCAAAGTTAGCTTAAGCTAGTTTTAAGCTAGCTTATAAACTTATTCTTTCAATCCTCAGTTCTTTTCAGCTCAATTTAAGATCCTAAAAGTGACGTGTGAATGATTTTAAAAATGAAGAAAAAGTGCTCATTGAGCCTCCCACTTCCTGTTGTTGCTCTTCCAGTGTCCCCGGAACCAAAGCAGAGAAATTTCAGAGGTCCCTTCTCCTTCTCCTTCTTCAGATTTTTCTCCTCCTCTTTTTTCGGATCAGGCTCAGAAGAGCAAAAAGAGAGCTACATGGGGTGTTGCACCCAAAATTGAATTTGGATGACTTTTCACTGAGCAATATACTGAGAAGAGAAAGTTTCTTAAAGCATCACAGCATGTGATTCTCTCCTCTAGCCCCCACAGGAATTTTTCAATTCGATTTCAAGTATCTGTGTGTGCACTTGAGAAATTTGATTAGAGCGAATTTCTAGCGTTTTTTTTTGGAAACTTCCGCTCAAAAATCGCCACTAAATTTGGTGTATTTTGGTCTAAAAACGACTGATTTTTGGATTGAAAAATGATCGAGTTTGGTCAGAATTTCGGAAGAATCAGGAGACGAAAATTGGGAGGAAAAGCATAAAAGTTGCTCAAAATCTCTAACATTAGGACTTCAACTGATCGCAACCTAACCTAATTAGAATCATAATGAATGCGAAATTACCGTAATAGAAGCCCACATAGGGATTAGTGAACTTTGAGCTCAATTATCTCGGTTCCTATGAGAGATATCAAAACTAATAAAATGTTTATCATAACATCACAAACATTTTATCAGTTGACAATATTTTGAAATCTCTTCCAGGGACGGATATAATGAGGTACAAAGTGATAAGCCCCTCTCCCTCCCCCTTTTTCTATGGTGGTGGTGTTTTGTTAGACTGTCACACTTTGAGCTCAATTATCTCGACTCCTATAAAAGATATCGAAAATTTGCCAATTGATAAAATATTGCTGATAATATGATAAATAATTTATCATTTGACACCTTTTTGATATCTGTTACAGGAAATGGGATAAATGAGCTCAAAGAGCACTGGGATTCTATTAAAGAATTTACGGCGACTAAATTAATCTAGCCTAAAAAACGGCTACATTTAGCTTGAAACTCACCAATTTTTAGTCCATAACAATTTTTTAAAAACTCACAATCAAGTCCGCAACTGCCAAGGAGAAGATCAGATAATACTGTGGTCGTCCTCTCAAATCCCTTTCCATGATGATCGCCAAAATCACAAATAGGTTACCAATGAAACAGGAGAGTATGAGCAATAGCAGCACTGACGCAAGGATCACAGTCTGAAAATTAAAAGTGTTATAACTCAATCAGTTCTTGTTCAAATCGGATAAAATCTAAATCTTCAAGTTTAGCATGAGAAGCGCTTTAAATGATTATAGTCTTAATTCGGTTTCGGAAATTTTGAAGTACCATCAAACCTGCCTCGAGTTTGAGCACAATTATCTCGGCTCCTTTGAGAGCTTTTATAAATTTGTCAACTAATAAAATATTGCTGATAATGTGATTAACAATTTATTCTCGGGGTTCATTTAATTGAGTACAATTAAGACCACCAAGGTGATCGCTGAGAATTTAGAATCCAAAATTTAGAAATCCAGTTCGGACCTTTTTAAAGGTTCCTGAAGTCTTAAAAAGATCCCAATTTTGAATCCTGGATCCTTGGATCCCTTACCTGCACCAACGGTCTCTCGACATCACTAAAAATCTCGGCATGTGCTGGAAACTGATCTACCAGATGTGTTCCCCTGGCGGCCGCCGACAGAATCGTCTGCGGTGTGATCGCCGCCGTCGAAGACGACGTCGTGAAATTCCAAAACTGCTCGTCGATCATCATCTTCATCACGATTCATCGTCTCATCACGACGACGACGACGACGTCTTCTGCAAACGACGTGGGATGAGAATAACGGTGGGAGATGAAGCAGCAATTGGTAAAGAAATTAGAAGAAAACGGAGAAGAAGAAGCAGAAGAGCGTAAAGGAGGAAATCCAATAAGGCCTGGAGAAAGAGAAGAAACAAAACAGGGCGCTATGTTTGTGTCAAATGTAAATAAACGGCGAAGGAGATGAGGGGACGACAGAAGACGTTTGAGGACAACGTCGAAGAACAACAAGAAGACGTGCTGGAAGATTAGGACAAGAAAAAAGAGAAGATGTTAAATGAATTAGGGCGGTTGGCGGTTTTGTGGTGTTTGGTGGGGTTTCAGTTCGTTAGAAGCCGGGATGGGGGGTACGGTATCTAAAAATGGAAATTAAAGAAGAAAAAGAAGCCATATGGTACGGTCTGGAACTATTTTCGGAACTTGAATGGACTACGTAGAACAGAAAGAAGATTAAGCTGATATACGACTTGGTTATCTTGATAGGCTCATAAATCATTTCAAACTCAAAATTTTAGAATGCATTTTAATAGAAAATGTAGATCATGAGAAGAGCATGAGAATGATATAAAACATGACTAGGTTTGAAATAAGCTTAATTCCCATAAAAGCTCTCAAGTGGTTCAGGCCTAAAAATGAATTTTCAAAACCGGCCTCAAGTAGCTGGAGGAGAGGAGAACTCATTTTTAAAGGCGCATAGCTCAAAAGCCAGGAAAGCTAGCATAAAGTTGCTAACTATGAAAATGTGTAAAATTTAAATTTAGATATTTTTGTAGTTGAAAACCTTGCTGTGGCTATCTTGGTTTTTGAGATATGCACGTTCAAACAAAGGGCGTGTGTGCGCCTCCGCTTTTCTGGAGCGCGACCAATCTTTAAAGGCGCATATCTCAAAAACTACTACAGTTACAAAAAATGTGTCAACAGCAAAAATGAAGCTTTGGACTTGTTTTATATGTTCGGAAAGTTTGAAATCTATTGAAGAACTATGATTCCAGATATATTTGAAACTTCAAAAAGCTCTCCATAACTTTCAGATACAAAAATGTAGATAGGTTCAAGAGCTATATATTTTTTTGGAAAAATTGAAAACCTAATCTTCGATGAGCCATAATTCGATTGGAATTTCCAAAAACCTCAAATCAAGTAAAAGAGTCTTAATTAGAAGTTCGAAGTATAAAATGTTAAACGCTTTGAAGATGAGCTCAAAATTCATAAAAACTAGGAGAAAACTAGATCAGAATGATTCTCATAGTTTCAGAACTTTTGGTACTGTAACCTGCTCAAAGAATGGTCGAAGAAATCCCAATAAAAAAGAGAAGACTAGAATGGATTCCATTTCTAATCTCTGGCCAAACGAGCTTACAAAATTGAGAAGACATTCAAGGCCGGGTGCAAAAATATGTGCCGCCGCCCGTCTTCTAAGTATATTCATATATACATGAGTGTTGTTTTACACATCTACGGAGATAACAGGAGGAGAATACGGCGCGCGAAAAAGTGGGCGGAGTCTCAGAAGAAGAGAGAGAGAGAGAGAGCAGGAAGTGGGAGGAGCAGAAAATGAAAAGGAGAAGAAGAGCAAGAAAAATGACGAAATGATGGGGCTCGGATTAAGGACATACGGGGGCACAAAAAGACTCATCCTGTTAGCAAGAGGGGTCAGGAGCGCTTTTTTATGGTCCCCAAAGGTTAGTTTTATGAAGGGTACTGTAGTTTTTTTTTTAATCAACCTGAAAGTTTGAATGAGCGGACTCAAAAATAAAGGATTACGGTAACTATAAAATTTGCCAATCAAGCTAAAAAGTTAGCCATTTCAATTTAGTGGAAAAGGGATACGTTAACTTTATTGGGCTCCAAAAAAGGTCTAGAAGAAATCCAATCATGCTAAAAGTGAACCTAAAAACTTAGAGGTCTACGGTACTTTGAGATCTACGGTCGCTTAAACGGATTTTCAGAGAAAAATCCTTGAATTTGAGCCTGATTGAATTTACCTAGAAAACAAGACTAGAGTATTTTTTGTAACTTTACTGGTTTTTGAGATATGCGCCTTTGAAAGTAGGCTTTATCTAGGCGGCGCGCTTTTTAAAGACGCATAGCTCAAAAGCCAGGAAAGTAAAAGAAAAGTTGTAAATTACAAAAATGTGTAAAATTTAATAATTCACATTTTGTAGTTGACAACTTTTTTGTGACTTTCTTGGTTCTTGAGATACGCGCCTTTAAAGATAAGACGCCCTGGCGTCCGCCGACAAAGCGACCGTTAAAGATGCGCATAGCTCAAAAGCCAGAGAAGCTAGCAAAGAGTTGTGAACAAAAAAATGTGTAAAATGTAGTTCTGCATATTTTTGTAGTTTACAAGTTTATTGTGGCTCTCTTGGTTCTCGAGATACGCGCTTATAAAGAAAGGTTGCCTGTGAGCCGCCTCCAGTGAGGCCCTCCACTTTGCTGGGGCGCTTCCAATCTTTAATGGCGCGCATAGCTCAAGAGCCAGGGAAGCTAGCTAAAAGTAGCTAACTATGAAAATGTGTAAAATTTAAATTTAGATATTTTTGTAGTTGAAAACTTTGCTGTGGCTTTCTTGGTTTTTGAGATACGCGCCTTTAAAGAATGTGTACCCCTGCGCCACGAGAAAAAGGGGAGAGGGATGGTGGTCAAAAGTCGCCCCAGCTTTAAAGACGCATATCTCCAAAACTTCAATTTTTACAAAAAAAATTGTCAATTACAAAAATGAAGCTTTAGACTTGTTCTATAAGGTCTGACAATTTGAAATTAGTTGAAGCAGATTGAGCTATGATTTATGGCCACCAAATCTAGTTCCAAAATTTGAGATATGATTTCCGTTACCAAATTAACCCTGAATCAGAATTTTCTAAGGTCTCACAGGAGGATAAGGAAGTTTATTTTAGATGCTGGTCAAAGTTTTTTTCGCAATCTTAAATTTGGCTTAAGTGTCTATGGATGTACTCAACACAGGAAATATGATGTTTTAAATGATGTCCCCTATGCTCTTACTCAACGTTTCCGGCAAAGAAAAAGTGTCTGCAGGCCGGAAAATTAGAAGAAGTAGAAGAAGAAGAAGATGCACCATGTGAGAAGAAGTAGAAGAAGAAAAACGGAGACTTCACACATTAATCCAAAAGTTCAAGTTTGCTCAGAAGCGGCTCACACGTTGTTTGACATGCCCCGAGGCGATCGTATGGTGGGGAGGAGAGGAGGAGGACCTTTGAGATTAGGCAATCTGGAAGGAAAGAGTTGGAAAAAATTGGTTTGATGGGTATGAGAAGATTGGAAATAGAAAAATCGGGGAAGAAAAATGATGGGAAAATCAATTGGAAAAGTTGCGAGGGTGGACGTTTTTTGACAGGTTTATATGTTTGTAATTGGGAACCTGGACAATTTGAACCTTTCAGAAATTTTAAAAATAAATAGGAAGCAAAAAGTTTTTTGCGGTAATATCCAAGAGTACGAAAATCGCCGTTTTTTTTTGAGAGTCCAGGATTTTTAGAGCTTCCAGAATACTTTCTTCTGTAACTAGGGGATTTAGAGTTCCAAAAATTAGCAACGCGTTTTCAGTTAATTTTTGCCATTTTCAGGAGTCTGTAGCTCGGCTGTCATGTTTCCGATCATTTCGAAATATTGTGAGGATATAAAATAGACCTAGATTGAAAACTTTGCATTCCCAGAATTTTTCAAAAATTCCTAGTTTTTCAGCTAATTGACGATTTCTGAACTACGCCTGTTTTTCACGTTTTCAGTACAAAAACAGGTAAATTTTTATAACACACAAGATCCCGTTCCTCGCATCTACCAACAAAATACAATATCAGTTCTTGGAAAATTCAAAATTTTAAGATTTATGGAAATATGATTTTATTTTTTAAAAATCCACTGAAAACTCGCACTGGAGCATTTTGGGTCTCATAGAATAGCTCTGAACGTTTAAAGGCGCATACCTCAAAAACTAAAGAATCTAGGCAACAGTTTAAAACTATGAAAAGTTGTAAAATTTAATTTCACACATTTTTCTAATTGACATTTTTTTTTCTAACTTTTCTAGTTTTTCCGATATGCGCCTTTAAAGTTGGCGAGCTTAACGATAAAGATAGGAGTAGGTGGCCACTTTAAAGGCGCATATCTCAAAAATTACGGTAGCTTTAAAAAAACTTGTCTGAAGCAAAAATGAAGTTCTAATCTAGATTTTTAGGAATCAGGGATTAAAAATAAGATTTCTTCTCCTAGTTGGGGATTTTCGAGAAAAATTGACTCAAAAACAATTTTCAGCACATTTTCATTTTTTCTTCAAAAAATCGGAACCCTCTTGATAGTTCAACAAAACAAATTGGATCAATCAAACAAAAAATCGTATATGATTGCCTTTTTTAAAAAAGTAGGTTCTAAGTAACTCACTTAAAAAATTCCAAGAAAAAACGACGGGCTAGTTTTCAGATCTCTGTCCGTTCACAAAAAAAAAATAGACTCAAATCGAAAAAATAATAAAACGAATTCTCTGAAATTCCTCTCCCTGATTGTATATATACAATTAAATGTTTTGTTTGATCTAAGCGTCTCCCAAAAGAAGAGTAATATCGAAAAATAAGGAGAAAAACAACCAATTTCGAATTGGCAATCTTAATCGAGAATCTTAATCGAGAATTTTTGAGAAATTAAAATTTCTGAGATGTTTGAGAGTATAGAATAGTGAAGAGAAGATTTCAAGTAAAAAAATGAATACTTTAAAATTCAAAAAAAAAAACACCAAAAAAAAATTTGTGTGCCACTTTGGATAATTGAGAGTACTGGCAGCCATGATACGCCAATACATAGAAAATCTACAAAAAATACGAATTAGGTACCTTCTGGGAAATCACATGGCCTTAATTTCCGGACCGGTCAATAACTATAAAAAGTATGAACTCTGTTATCTACTTCACATATTACTTGATGACGTAGGAAGGACC